GAAGATAGGAAAGTGTAGAACAAGATTATACCTATTTGAAAGTCCAATTGTTGCTGGAGATGGCTGGAAAATAGCTTGAAAGGTGATTGGTACCTGGGAAAACTTTAAACCTCGTCGGAAACAAGGCAAACTTTAAACGTTCATAACTTCTTCAATACTCAACGAAATCGAGTGATTCAAAAGAAAAAATCATACTTCTTGATGGGACAAAGAGAATGGTACCTTTATTGATGGCTAACTCGTTGTGGTTTGGCCATAAAATGGCTTGAAAGTGGCTATCTTGGTCTCGAGTTAGCCATTTTCGAGCCATTTTCTAGCCAAACCATGGGGAATTATCCATTGAGAAAAGGTACCATTCTAGTTGTCTTGTTGATAAGTATGATTTTTGTTTTTGAATCACTCGATTCGTTGAGTATTGAAGAAGTTATGAACGTTTAAAGTTTACCTAGTTTTCGGCAAGTTTTCCAATTTTCCCTCGAACCAGTCACCTTTCAAGCTATTTGCTGGCCATCTTCGGCAACCATTGGGCTTCTAAATAGGTTTATTTTTGTTCTACACTTTCCTATCTTCATTTTGATATATTATGGTCAAATTTGGTTAAGAAACGATTGAGTTACGAAGCTTTGAAAATTGCTTAAACTTTCAGCCAAGAGCTCCGGGACACTTAATGGAGTTTTTAATGGAACGACCAAAATAATGGATGGTGGACAATCTCATGGACCATTTCTATTGATTTTTAATCTTAGGGACCAAAGTCATGTGTTATGCAAATCTCATGAACCATTTTGGCTAAAAATCCTAAGTAGAATTTTGATGTCCAAAAGGTAAGACATGTGATTAACTTCTTCAACAACATCATTGCTGGTGGTGGATATGTATGTGATTATAAGTACACAAAAAAAGACACCAACCATGGTCGATTCAATTACAGAAACCATCGTTGCATACTATGCTGCCTTATAGTTTCCAGCTCCTAGTTCATTTGCAACTCTTACTCTGTAAATTCATAAAATAAATTCCAAATGAATGCTAGTGCTTGTACTATGTCAAATAACTCTACCAAGTACAAAAAAACTGTTGATTTCAGTATTTCTTGCCTCAATATTTTTAGTTTCATTATTAAAGTGAGAGTAATTTGGAAACAGTATAGAAATGATACCTCGTTCCAGCAAAGAAGGCTAGAGGAATCATGATCTCCCACCCATTAATAGTCATGCTGCAGAATATAGACCCAATCATAGCAATAATTAGCTAATATAGTTCTTCTTTTGTATTATTATTAACGAACGGATGGAACCGCCCGAGGGGGGGGGTGAATTCAAAACTGTTACATGAGGACGGAAAAGTTTGAATCGGGGACACAAGGGTGGAATTTAAGTCAGCGCCTTACACACTAGGGTTGGATCACATGCAGCTAAAATAGTCATGTTAAAACTGATGAGTCAATAGTTTACCCTAATCTTATTATCTTAGTATTAATTTATTGATTATTTTGGTAAGATTTTGATACTTTGAATTATATTTCTGTAAGACATTCAATTTTCTCTTGAGCGTAAAGTATACAAACGGACGAATTTTATAGTTTTTTCAATTGGAGGATGTTTGTGTATCTTTCAAGATGATTGTATCAAAGTTTCAGATTTTTCTACCAAGCCGTTTGACTGTGGCAACGAAATAAAGGCCCAGCGCGCAGCTTTTCCAGATTCATGCTCCTGAACATTTTGAGTATTTGGGAGATCAAGATGGCATATTTTGAGGAAGATTGCTTCTGAGGATTTGTAGGGGACGAGTTAAGCTTTCAAAAGAGACATTTTGGGACCAAATCAGAGTTTATTTGGTTAGTCAAAAGTCTGATTTTCTGAGAAATCCGAATTTCAATTATATTGGCTGTTTTATTATTTTATTATGTTTCCTAGTATTATTCTAAGACCTTTTTTTAGGTAGGGTTTTATTTTGTATTAGTATAAATAAGACTATTTAGCCATTAGGGAAAGAAATGCATCAATTCAGAGAACTTAGCTAGGCTTTAACAATTTTTACCTACAAGGTGTTTTCTATCTATGTTCTTAATAATATTTTGTTTTATGGTTGTTCGTAATTAATTTTCGTTTGGTAGGATGATGCCTTGAGCCTTAGTATGAATATGTAGTTTTTATTTAATTGCTTTAGATAGTATGCATGCATACTTTGAATTATTAATCACTATGTTTAAACTGTCTCTATATCTTAATGCTTAATTACTATTAGGATGTTTAGATAAGTAATTTGATGCTATTCGGTCGGAATGCCACCGGAGGATTGAGTATTACTTCTTGTGATTGATAGTTATAAGTAGGGGTGGATTTTTTTGCCAAATTGCTGTGCCAACCGAATTGCCAACCGTGCCATACCGATTTTGTGCCAAATTTTTTGTACCAATCGGTAATGGTACGGTATTGTACCGTACCGAAATTTCATGGTACGGTATTGGTAATGGATACCATTACCACGGTATTACCGTACCATACCGAAAATACAATATAATTTATAATTTATAGTTTATATAATACATAATTATATAACACATATTTATAATATTCCAATAATTTGAAAATAAAACCCTACTTATATTAGCATTGTTGTTGGTGACTTTGATCTCTTAAAATTGTGGAAATCAAACACAAAAGAGTTCCTAATTCTTTCACAAATAGCCAAAATATCTTTGTAACCCCCACTTCTTCTGTTGCTAGTGAAAATGCATTTAGTCTAGGGAGGAGGGTTGTGAACCCTTTTAGGGTATTCTTGACTCCTAAAATAATTGAGGCACTAGTGTGTACTAGTGGTTGGCTTAGGGCAGGTGAAGTAAACTTCTACAAGGACCAACGGAAGATATGCTTCAATTTTACAAGGAAATAGAAGAAGAGAAAACAAGAAAGATATGCTTTAATTTTTTTAGTAAATTTGTTATTAAATGGTTTTCAACTTTAATTCTTCTTGCTACTAATTAATATGTTTTCTTTGTTTGTAATGTAAGCTTGATGCAAACTCAATCTTCTACAAGTTCAATGCCTCCTCCAAAAGTTTCGACATCTCAAGCTTGAATAACTGATCAATGAATTCTCCATCTTGAAGTTTACTTCCAATTTTCATTTGGTTTGAAACTTTAATTTCTATTTGGATTGTTAACTTCTATTTGTTTTGGTTCGTAACTTCTATTTGGATTGTAAGCTTAATTTTCATAATGAATCTTGATGCTTCATTTGAATTATTATGTGTGTGAATTGTGAATGATGAATAATAGATGAATTTAATCTATAATGTATAAGATAAAGGTACAAAAAAAAAAGTTTTGCCCTTGAATTGGGTTAAAAAAACAAAAACATTTTGTCCCAAAACAAAATGGCAATTACCATTGCCATACCATGCCAACCAAACTTTTGGCAATACCGAACTTCGGTATACCGAAAGTTTGGTATGGTAATGGTAATAGATTTTACCAAACCGAAACTTTGGTACGGTAATTGGTACAAGGGTTTTGGTACGGTAACCGTACCGAACCCACCCCTAGTTATAAGTTCACCTAGGGCTAATGCCATGTCTTAGGGGTTGTATGGTTTTTCAAAGGGTTTTCACAAAGTGTAATGAGTCATGCATGTTTATATTTTATCTAAATGCCACAGACGGATTGCATGTTTGATATACGTTCTAGCTTGAGTGCCACAAGTAGAATATGCATAAGGAAAACCTAAGCTTCAAAGTTGTATGTGTAATTCATAAGTAATTGGTAAAACTACATAAGATTGTTAAGGTGACGGCAAAATCCTAGTGTCCTTTTATCATTATTTTCTAAGATTGTTCCCTTTCAAATTGGTTTCTTTAATTGCGTTTTTTTATTTATTAAAAATCGCTTTTGTTATTTTAAAATCCAAAACCAACATTTTCCAAACTTTGTTTTAAATAGTTAATTAAAAACTAGTTTAAATACAAATTATTCAATCAGTTCCTATGGAAATGACCTTACTTGAGCTGTTATACTACAATAACATTGTACTTTTGTAAGTATTTTTAAGTGTTATTATTCCTACTTTTGCAGGTGGTAAAAATGCTATAAAAAACAAAAGTTTAAATATGGTTAATTTTTCACCGTAAAGTTTTTGAGGTTTTCAACTTTGATCTTTAAACTATGTTTTGGAGATGATCTAAAATTTTATTTTTTACATAACCTTAAGCGCATAAATGCTCTTAACCACTTGAGCTACATGATCCTAACAAATTATTATTTTTTAAGTTCTTAGCGATGTCAAATAAGTGCGTTTGGTAGAAAAGCTGATGGTTTAGCACTTCCTAACCTCATTTCCTAAATTTCTGAAATTCTCAACAACAATTTAGAACATCGCACTTTCTAACCACTTTTACAGTAATATCTTTAAAACGAGGTCAGCTACTAAACATGTATCCATCTCTATCAATTTTTGTTGATTTTTTTATTGAATACAAAGGTCGAAGCCAGTGATTCTTGCTTTTGATTTCGTAGGTTCTTGAAGAATTGAAGGTTGAGTGTTTGCTATTGTTGTGGCTATTATCATGGCTTCTTTTACCGTTAAAATTGAAGGGTTATTGGGATCACAATTACACTAAGTGGGCATCTCAGTTCAAATCTGTGTTGAAATGTTACAAACTCTTTGGTCATTTTGATGGATCTGTAGTTTGTCCTCTAAAGTTTGTTATGAATACTGAAATTGGGGTTACAAAGCAAGTATCTGAGGTTTATCAAGAATGAGAGTCCACTGATTTAGCTTTGTTGAGTCTCTTCTGATGATGCTATAAAGCATGTAATTGCGTGTAGAACAGCTGGAGATGCTTGGTCTAATCTTGAAGAAAGATATGCTTCTATATCTAAAATTGATGCCGATCACTTAAAAACTGAGTTCCATACAATTCAAAAGCAGAGTGATTTAGTGAATAAATATCTTCTCATACTTAAGTTTATTAGGGATTACTCACTGCAACTGGAAAATTCATTTCTCACAATGATGTTATCATTGCTACTTTAGCTGGATTGCCCAATGAATATGCTACCATTAGAACGGTAGTTTTTGCAAAAGATACCTCTATTTCTATGAAATAATTAAAAGCTTTGCTTCTTGGTGCTGAAAGAGAAAATAACATTGCCATAAACTCTTTATCTGATAGTATGTCAGCTTTATACATGCATGGTGGTTCTAGGTCTTCAAGGAGTTCACAATTTAAAAATGGTCCATCTATTTCACAGTCTTCTGATGTTGAATCTCCTAGCACTGGAGGCAGGATTACTGCAGTTCCAATGGTTCCTTATGGTGCTCAGCCACCTGGATTTCCTCCATATTTTCCTCAATCATCACAGGATTAGTTGCCTTTCCTTCCTACACCAACTTTTGGTTTTGGAACTGGTATTGTTGGTAATTGGAGTTCTGCATCTAGACAATTTTTAGTGTCTGGAGCTTCACATTATAATGAGGACAACAACAACAAAGATCTAATAATGGAGGCCAACATAATTATAATGGGGGTCATAAGTCTAACTACAGAGTTAAAAATTTCTAATGGTTATAGGCAAAATAATGGATGGTATGGAAAATACAAAATCTAGAACAACAATGCAGCCTGAGTGTCAAATTTGTCAGAGAATGAGTCACAGTGACCTGCATCAAATTGTTTCTTTAGGAATGCTCAAAGGCCTTCTATTGGGTTCTCTACCAAGTGTCAGATTTGTGGTGAAAAGGGACATAGTACACTTGAATGTTATCAGAGAAGAAATTATTCTTATCAACCCAGGGGACCACTATCTTCTCTAGTTCCAACCTTCATTGCAACTCTACCAATGGCTCCAATTTTTCCAATTCTCTTTCATCAGCAAGGCACATCTAACGCTTCATCTCCTTTTGCAGCACAGTATTCCTATAAAGTTCTTGGATCTACAGTCTATGCAACACCTCCAAATTCATCTGATAATGATAAAGGTTCTTGTTTTATTAATGCTATGGCTGCACATAATTCTTCATCATTTTCAAATTCTTCTACATAGATTTTAGATACATGGGAATCTCATCATATGACTTCTGATTTGACAAGCTTGAATAATGTCACTCAATTTGAAGGTGTTGAGACAATAAAACTTGGCAACGGTCAAGGTTTTCCAGTTGACAATATTGGTTCTACTTTGATAAACACTCCATCAGGTTCTCTTATTTTGAAATAAGTGTTACATATCCCTTGTATTGTTGTCAATCTTATGTCAGTTACTTAACTTTGCAAGAACAATAAATGTTGGTTTATATGTGATGATAACTAGTTCATTGTGCAGGACAAGGTAACAAAGAGATCTTATACAAAGGAAGGATAAAACATTGTTTCAGATTCCTGCTTAAAATTTTTCTTCTACGTTAACTTTTCCTGGACAGTTGATGAAATCTTTAGTGTGGCATCACATACTGGGACATCCAACAAATGAAGTCATGTCTGTTATGTTAACTAAGTCTCAAATTTCTCATGCTATAGATGATGTGCATAAAATGTGTACTGCTTGTATTTATAAGAAATAGATAAGTAACCTTTTTTCTGTTGATTTTACTATATGTGTTCTTCCTTTTGATCAAGTTCATACTGATATATGGGGACCAACACATGTATAGTCCATTGAGGAGTAGACATATGTGGATATTCCCACTATTCAATAAATCTGAAGTGTTATCTACATTGTCCAATTTTACAAGTTTGTTGAAGTTTAGTTTGGTATCAGTATTAAATGTTTATTATATGATGGAGGTGGTGAGTTTACTAGTAAAGCTTTTAAGGAATTCATCGCTTTAAAAGGTATGACTCATAGAGTTTCATGTCCTTATACACCTCAACAAAATAGATTAGTAGAAAAAAAAATCTCACATTGTTGAAACTACCATCACATTGATGGATGCTGCAAGATTATGTCAAAATTTCTGCTATCATGCTTGTGCTCATGCAATAGTTTTAAGGCTAAATAGCCAAAATGGTCCCTGAGATTTGCATAACTCATCACTTTGGTCCCTAACATTTCAAATCAATCAAAGTGGTCTCTGAGATTGTCCACCATCCATCATTTTGGTCATTCCGTTAAAAACTCCGTTAAGTGTCCTGGAGCTCTTGGTCGGAAGTTTGGGCAATTTTCAAAAGCTTCGTAACTGAATCGTTTCTTAACCAAATTCGACCCATAATATATCAAAATGAAAATAGGAAAGTGTAGAATAAGATTATACCTATTTGGAAGCCCAATGGTTGCCCGCGATAGCCAGAAAATAGCCTCGTCCGAGGGAAAAGTAGAAAACTCGTCGGAAACTGGATAAATTTAAACGTTCATAACTTCTTCAATACTAAACGGAATCAAGTGATTCAAAAACTAAAATAATACTAATCGACGAGGCGAAGAGAATGATACCTTTTTCGACGGCTAACTCGCCGTGGTTTGGCCCGAAAACGGCTTGAAAGTGACCATTGACAGCCACTTTCGAGCCTTTTTCCGGCCCCAACACTGCGAGTTAGCCATAAAAAAAAGGTATCATTCTCTTCGTCTCGTTGAGAAGTATGATTTTAGTTTTTGAATCACTTGATTTTGTTGAGTATTGAAGAAGTTATGAACGTTTAAAGTTTACCCAGTTTCTGGCGAGTTTTCCAGTTTTCTCTCGGACCAGTCAACTTTGAGGCTATTTTCCGGCCATCTCCCACAACCATTGGGCTTTGGAATAGGTATAATCTTATTATACACTTTCCTATCTTCATTTTGATATATTATGGGTTGAATTTGATTAAGAAACGATTGAGTTACGAAGCTTTGAAAATTGCCCAAATTTCCGGCCAAGAGTTCCAGGACACTTAAGGGAGTTTTTAACAGAAGGACCAAAATGATGGATGGTGGACAATCTCATGGACCACTTTGATTGATTTGAAATGTTAGGAACCAAAGTGATGAGTTATACAAATCTCAGGGACCATTTTGGCTATTTACCCTAGTTTTAATAAATAGGATGCCAAGTAAAGCTTTTCAAATGCACTTTTCTTATTGTGCTCTTTTTTTTATAAGCCTCTACCCTTTCAAGAATTAAATATATTTGGCAACTATTTATCCTTATCTAAGGCATTACAATGATAATAAGCTTCAACATATGACTTATGTGAGCCTATTTTTGGGATATGCCTCAGGTTATAAGGGTGTGATATGTTATAATTTTCAATCCAAGAAGTTAATTCTATCAGGACATGTGCTTCATGATGATTCCAATTTTCTAACCAAATGTGTTAAACAAATGGCTCCAGAGGTTGTGAAAGTTGTACTTACTTTATCCACTCCTCCAATAGTTGTGAATGTAGTTTCTCTTGGTATACAGCATAACTTGTCTAATGGGGATTCAATCTATGATTCCATTTCTTCTCTACATGAAATTCATAATGCATCTAGTTTCAACTTTACTCTGGTAAATGCTCATTCTAGGAATAGTTTTGATACTGCAATATATCAATCTGAAGCAGGGTCTTCACAGGGATCTGAAACATCACATTCTTAGGTTTCTCCTAAAAGTCAAGATCAGTTCCAACCTTTGTTACCTACTTAATCTTGCACAGCTTCAAGTACTCCCTCCTATCTCTTCTCTAGATGATTCTACTTAATGCAGTTATACCAGATCCAATATCTAGTAGTAATCATCCTATGCAAACAAAGTGACAATTAGGGGTTATTGAAAAGAAGAATTATGTTGCATATTTGGCTTTGTTTCCTAAGCTTAAGTCCTAAAAGATTGATGAGCATGAAGATTCTTGTATTGTTGGGTATTCATTTATAGTTGGTATTAATGCTTGTGATGAGTCAAAACTTTAAGAATTGTTGCTTCTAATTTTCATTAGCAGCAAGCAATGCAATATCAGTTTGATTCATTGAAATTAAGCTCAAGGAACATGGAATTTAATTCCTCCACCAGCTAATAGGTCTATTATTAGCAGTAAATTGGTCTTCAAGATCAAGAAATATCCTTATGGGAATATTGCTAGATATAAGGTAAGGTTGGTTACTCAGGGGTTCACTTAAGAGCATGTTTTGGGTTATTCCAAAACCTTCAATCCAATCAGTAAGGTTAATTTTCACTCTTGCTACCTGTCACAAATGGGAACTTAGATAGTAGAATCAAAATACCTTTTTGCACTGAGATTTACAAGAAGATATCTATATGAAACAACCATAAGGGTTTATTGTAGGGGTGGGCGCGGTGCGGTTTCGAGTGAAACCACAACCGAAACCGAAACTTTTTGCGGTGCGGTGCGGTGCAGTTTTGAAGCCAAAACCGAAATGAAACCAACCGTTTGGTTCGGTTCGGTGCGGTTTCAAACGGTTTCGGTTTGGTTTTTGAGAAAAAAAATGTACAATTTAAAATATACACATATTTATGCATAAGACGGTCTTATTTTCCTTGTATATTAATTAATAAATATGCAGCAAAATTGCACCAAAAACAGCAACAACAATGCAGCAAAAAACAGCTCCAAAACTGCCAAAAAAATGCAGCCAAACTGCATAAAAAACGCAGAAAAATAGCAGCAAAACAACACCAAAAAACTGTACCAAAACTGCAGCAAAAAACTGCACTGAAACTGCCGCAAAAAACTGCACAAAACTGCACAAAAAACAGCAGCTACACAGCAGCTAAACTGCACCAAAAAACTGCACAAAACTGCAACAACAATGCAGCAAAAAACAGCGCCAAAACTGCCAAAAAAATGCAGCCAAACTGCATAAAAAACACAGAAAAACAACAGAAAACAGCAGCAAGACAACACCAAAAACTACACCAAACCTGCAGCAAAAAACTGAAGGGAAAATCTGCTCACGAGAGTAGAAGGTATAATTGTTGATTGCAAGTAGAAATCCTAGTTGGGAGCAGCCTCTCCATAAATGGGGGTAAGGCTAGCCGACATTCACCTCTCCCAGACCCTGCGTAAAGCGGGAGCCTTATGCACTGGGTACGACCTTTTTTTTTTTAAAGTAGAAATCCTAGATGCTTTACTGAATGGAACCTCATATGCATACTTCTTGCATTGTTCTAGTGGTAATCTAGTCCCACAAAAAAATCTAATCCCACAAATATCAAAAGTAAACCTACTTTTAACGATACGAAAGAAAGCTTGCGTCTCCAACCAACCTACTAAGAAAACCACACAAACTTCACAACAACGACGCTTCCATAATTGCGTTTCAACATTCATCTGGTAATTTCTATGGACAGTTCAAGAACTTGAAGAAGTTTTACATCAATCTTACAGGAGAAATCTACGCGAGAAGCGACTTTAATTCCCCGATGCTTAAAGGTCTAAGATGAAACACAAATAATTGAGATGATAAATGTCTACATTCTACAGAGGAATACTGCAGCAGTTGTTAGTTGGCAAACAACTTAATAAACAAGGCGATCAATCTTTTGAGTAGCAACAACGAATCAAAGTCTACAGCAAAATTTCCAAAAAGCTGATCCAGATTCAAGGGTGAGCATGAACTAGAATGGAAGAACACAAAAATCCATTTCAAATCTTGATGCAAGAAACACGAAGGAATCAAAGACCTAGACATAACCAAGCACTAAATTAGGATATTCATGACAGACACAGCCTCGTGGGCAATCCGCCATTCGGATACTCGTCCTCCTCCTCGGTGCAAATAAATTCAGAAAATGGAAGCAATAAATTCGAAAATGGAAGCAATAAATTCAGAAATTATCTTTCAAGACCCAAACTTCTTTTTAAGACAAATAACTAACAAATAACTAAGAAATTGTCTTACCATATTAGCTGGTAAGCAATGACTCAGTGAGGTCGCAAGGCAAGGCAGAGGCGGAGATGCAGATTGCAGTCAGGCAGTTGCCGATCACTTCCACCGCTTCCAGAGATGCAAGCAGGCAGTCGCTCGCAGAGGCAGACGCAGAGATGCAGATTGCAGAGATGGAAGCAGAAGCAGCCTGGTGATCGCAGAGGATAAACAGAGATGCAGATTGCAGAGATGGAAGCAGAAGCAGTCGCTCGCAGAGGCGGACGCAGAGATCGCAGAGGCGGACGCAGAGATCGCAGAGGTGCAAACCCAAAACCGCAAAACCAATCTATAAGCTAGTTGAACTAATTAAAAATTAAAAAGTTTAAAATATAACATTTATTTATTATATGATGTGGTTTCGGTTTCAGTTTCGGTTTCGGTGCGGTTTTGAAAACCCAAAACCAAAACCAAACCGTTTTGTGTGCCGCGGTTCGGTTTTGAAACCGAAACCGTTTCAAAACCGCAAAACCAAACCGTTTGGTGCGGTTTGATTCGATTCGTGTTTCAGTTTCGGTTTTCGGTTTCAAGTGCCCACCCCTAGTTTATTGATTCAAAGTGTCCTAATCATGTGTGTAAATTGGTTTTGTCCTTATATGGGCTTAAACAAGCTCCAAAGGCTTGGATTTACAAGAAGATATTAATTATGCATAATTATTGAATATTTTGCAAGTTTGAAATGCCATGACGTTTTCGAGAACGTTAATTTCTCTGTTTACCTCCACATTGATTGCAAGTTTCAAATGCCAGAAGATTGAACAAAAGGCCAAACAGTGGGATACACTCATAGTGCGCCAATGATACTCATATATATGTTTTATATTGGAAATAATGGTTCATATCCTTTAACCCGTATCTTCCAGCAAATAATTATCGACTATAATAGAAAACTTTTAACCCCACAATGGTGCGTCAGTCAGATAATATATGTTTTATATTGGAAATAATTGTTCATATTTTAACCGTGTTATCCCGCAAATAATTATCGACTTTCATCACACCCTTTATTTATTCAAGCACATATTTCGATAATACCAAATCTTCAATATCGAATCCAATTGAAAGACATCTATCTATTCGTGGAGATGGATTATTTTTACCTCTCATATGATCTGGTGGTACCTCTCATGGCAGTCACATTGGCCTTGTCACTATTTCTCTACTCCCTGTTATGGAAATATGGAGGGGTAATCCGAAAAGCGCCACCGGAAGCCGGTAGAGCATGGCCAATAATTGGCCACCTCCACTTATTATCAAGCTCAACTGAACCAGCCCATTTGCTATTCGGTAACTTGGCCGACAAGTATGGACCCATTTTCACTATAAAGTTCGGAGTGAAGAGAGCTATCGTCGTCAGTAGTTCCGAAATAGCTAAGTGCTTCAAAACCAACGACAAAGTGTTTGCAAGCCGTCCAAAATCTATAGCCGGAGAAGTTCTGGGCTACAACTATGCCTTTTTCCCCTTCAGTCCTTATGGCGACTACTTTCGCCAAATACGCAAGATAGCCACACTGGAGGTGCTATCCCAGACCCGCATTGAGAAGCTAAAACACATTCGGGAATTTGAAGTGAAGGCATCCATGAAAGAAATGCACCGACGATGGACAGTGAACAAGAAGAGTAGTGGTTCGACTAAGGTGTTGGTGGAGATGAAAGAATGGCTTGCGTTTACAAATGAAAACGTTATATTTAGGATGATTGTCGGGAAAAGTTTTCTGGAAGCTACTGACTCGAAGTACTCTCAAGGATGTTATTTGGGTCGGAAAACGTTTTTGGAATTTCTTCGATTAAGTGGGACTTTTGTGATTTCGGATTCAATTCCGTTCCTGAGGTGGTTGGATTTGGGTGGACATGAGAGAGCTATGAAGAAGATTGCAAAGGAGCTAGAAGAAGTGTTCAAGGGATGGCTAGAAGAGCATAAGCACAAGAGGAAGATTTCGGGCAGACTGATGGTTGATGAGCTTGATTTCATGGATGTCATGCTTTCAATCCTTGGTAACAATGAAGTTACTACATCCTATGACGCTGATACTATCAACATAGCTACTTCCCTGGTAATTTTTCACATACACGTTATATTGGTTGAAATTGAACATGCATCTTATATTATTAAAGCAGGTTGTCTTGCTTGTGAAGCCTAATGGCCACACGTACTTCAGGTCACTTGACTTGTGTTGTCTATATGCTAGGCTTTAAAATTCACCACACATGAGGAGTGAGTATTGAAAGTATTAAACCCACATCAAGAAAATGAGGGATCTTACATGTGCTTATAAGTACTACTTACTATACTGTCGATTGGTTTTATGATGGAACCTCAACTTTCTTCTACCATGATGGTGCCTGATCTGATAGCTCTTATTCATTCTGAGAAATTCTTGAGTGTGACGGTAAAACCACTTTCAAGTTCACTGAATTGTTAGACGTGTATACATACATGAAAATCAGGTTAGATGGGAGAAAGTGAGTAGAAGGAGAAGGAAAGAGGAAAAGAGTGAGAGAAAGTTAGGGTGGGGAAAAAATTGTCTTAAATTGTAAACTATGTTGGCGTAGAAGATTGTTGATGCCATATACTTGTGTTTATGTTACTTGTTTTGCAGACTTTTCTATTAGGAGGTGCAGAAACTACGACTGCGACAATGTCATGGGCTCTAGCTTTACTTGTGAACCACCCTGAAACACTAAAGAAGGTCCAAGAAGAACTAGATGAAAATGTTGGTAAAGATAGACAAGTGAAGGAATCAGACACAGACAAATTGGTCTATCTCCAAGCTGTTATCAAAGAATCAATGCGATTGCACCCTGCTGCACCACTTGCAATACCACACCTATCCACTAGCGATTGCATGGTAGGTAACTACCACGTCCCAGCTGGCACACGCCTATTGGCTAACATTTCAAAGATCCATAGAGACCCAAATGTGTGGTCAGAGCCAAACGAATTCAAGCCAGAACGATTCCTCACAACCCATAAGGGCTTGGATGTTAAGGGTCGGGATTTTGAGTTGTTACCATTTGGCAGTGGTAGAAGGATGTGCCCTGCAATCTCACTTGCACTAAAGGTCACAGAATTTACACTCGCTTCTTTTCTTCATGGGTTTGAAATCGAAACCGCAACGGATGACCCGATTGACTTGCGTGAGACAGCGGGATTAACCAACCATATGAGTGCCTTGTTTGAAGTCCTTCTCACTCCACGCCTTCCTGCTGAGTTATATTAATATAATGTACTAATTAGGCAAAGTGTGCTATGTTATGTTTGTTCTTTGAGTGATTGTTATTTGTCGAGTCCTTTATATTTGTATCTCAGCATTGTTTTTGTACTAATTAGGCAAATTGTGGTATGTTATGTATGTTCTTTGAGTGATTGTTATTTGTCGAGTCCTTTATAAATATATCTCATCATTCAACAATGCTCACCAGTTTTACTTGTTTTTCTAAATAAATTTATGTATTTCCTATATGTGCTTCAAGGGACATATTTGTGAGCAAACATTTTAGCATATGGAATTTGAGATGAAAGATCGTTGAAACCCCGACCATTATGGCCCCTAGAAATTTTTTAAATAAACAAAAACATAAATGGCCACATATATTCATGGAACAAGATGGCGATACTAAAAAGGTCTTATACCCATAATAAATAAGGAAGAGTCATCCGTTTCACACATGTGGCCAACAAGCACGTGTGGTCATCACCGCCAATTACATTATAAGGTTCTTCGAACTAGGTAGAAACATCAGCAATTTTAAGAGGGCATCGCCTCTATTTTTTTATGTTAATTTATTAATCAATGATTGAAATTAGGCCTCAGAAATGGTGCACGAAATGCATGCGAAATTCACAAGCTTGTAGCTATTGTGCTTCCTCCTCTGATTGGTTGTCTGGTTTATGGGTTGACCATTTCGTTACATGCAGGGTGGCTTTCTCAGCCTGCCAAGTTCAAGCAACAAATTTGTACAATAACGAGTATTTCAAATTTAGGGTTTGAAAGGGGAACAAATAAATATATAAGAAAACAAAAAGATAACATAATCAAAATCATTATGTCTAATTAACATACCTCCTTTTCCCAATCACGTTGAATTGTGATGGTGGCCAATATCAATGTTTGCATACCGGTTCCACCAATGATCATCCCACCCCAAATACCCTGTTTTACATCATATAATAAACAAAAAATGCCAAGATAATGCCATTAATCCTTGCAAAATTTATGATGGCACAAGTGGTACAGTTAGCAAAATTTGGTCCTATACTGGCTGCGAGGACTAAGATTTTTATATGTTTAAGAGCATGTTTACAAAAGAGATGCAGAAAAACAAAGAAGTATATGGAGCAATAACCAGCTTACCCTAATACCCAAGTTGAAGGCCCATCCCATTAAAATTCCAAGTGGCAATCCAACAATGTAGTAGCAGAAAAGATTTATATATGCCACCCATGCTTGCCATCCCGATCCCACTGCTACTCCTGTTCATTGTAAACCCCATAAAAATTTGGTCATGGTCAGTAACATATGATAAAATGTGTATAACCACCATTCTAGGTCAGAATTGTGAGTATACGAAGGGAAAAGAGTTCTACATCAAGGAAATGAGAAATCTTGCAAGGACTTAAAAGAAGTTGAGCTATTTTCCATATTACTAATTGGTTCTATAATGAAATCTCAATTTTCTTCATGGGCTCACTTTTATGGTCAAGATGGTTAACCAAATGGTTCCAAATTGGTCGTAGAACAAACCTGATAAAACAGGTTGGACGCTATTAAGTAGAATTGTGATGGCCAAGAGGTAAGACATGTGATTAACTGCTTCAACGACATCACTGCTGGTGGTGAATATGTATGCGATCTTGTCATGGAGTGCAATTATAAGTACACAAAAAAAGACACCAACCATGGTCGATTCAATTACAGAAACCTTCGTTGCAAACTTTGCTGCCTTCCAGTTTCCAGCTCCTAGTTCATTTGCAACTCTTACTCTGTAAATTCATAATATAAATTTCAAATGAATGCTAGTGTTTGTACTATGTCAAATAACTCTACTAAGTACAAAAAACTCCTGATTTCATCATTTCTTGCCTCTATAGTTTTAGTTCCATTATTAAGGTGAGATTAATTTGGAAAGAGAATAGAAATGATACCCCGTTCCAGCAAAGAAGGCTAGAGGAATCATGATCTCCCACCCATTAATAGTCATGCTGCAGAATTTAGACCCAATCATAAAAATGATTAGCTAAAATTGGGTTTGGTTTTTATTTTTTAAATATTATTATGAAT